GATTGAAGTCTCCCATGAGAACTGGGGCCTGCGATCTAGTAACTTCTGCAAGTTGCCGGAAGAAAGCCTCGTCCACCTCATCCCCCTGGTCCGGTGGTCTATAGCAGACTCCCCCCACAACATCACCCTTGGTGCTCACACTTCTAAACTTAATCCAGAGACTCTCAGGTTTTTCTGCAGTTTCATACGTGAGCTCTAAGCAGTCATACTGCTCCCTTACATACAGTGCAACTCCCCCACCTTTTCTGCCCTGCCTGTCCTTCCTGAACAGTTTATACCCATCCATGACAGTACTCCAGTCATGTGAGTTATCCCACCAACTCTCTGTTATTCCAATCACATCATAATTCCTTGACTTTGCCAGGACTTCCAGTTCTCCCTGCTTGTTTCCCAGGCTTCATGCATTTGTGTATAGGCACTTGAGATAACCCGCTGATCGCCCCTTGTTCTCAGTATGAGGCAGGAGCCCTCCCCTCTCGTGCTGTCCTGCTCGTGCTTCCTCCCCGTATCCCACTTCCCCACTTACCTCAGGGCTTTGGTCTCCTACCCCCAGTGAACCTAGTTTAAAGCCCTCCTCACTAGGTTAGCCAGCCTGCTTGCAAAGATGCTCTTCCCTCTCTTCGTTAGGTGGAGCCCTTTGCGGCCCCCTTGCCCTGATTGGCCCTCCCTTCGTGTGCCATGCCTCCTCCCATGCGCTTGTGCCCTCCCCCCCCCCCTTTTTGGTTGATCACTGCACCCCCCTGATGTTGTTGTAACCTTCCCTCCCCTAGTGCAGCTAGAGGAGCTGGACTTCCATCTTCTGTCGGTGACTGACCCCCCCACAAGTCCTTGATAGACACCCTATCTGCCCCCCCATTTCAGCACCCTCCTCCCCTGCCCGCAGCCTAGCGGGGAGGAGTGGTTGACCTGCTTCCCCTTTCCCCCCCTTCTCCGGTGTTTTTCCCCTCCTTCCCCTCCCTCACAGCTCATCATGGCGGGAGACATGACGGGTGGGATCCCTGGGGCAGACCCTGCTCCCCTCCCCTGCCTGCCCTCCCGATGCCCCCCCCCAGCCTCTACTTCAACCGTCGTTGCTGAACCACCTGCTATCGCCCCCTCTGGGAGCCGGCAGCAGCAGGCAATGGGGTGATCTCCGTGGCTGCCACATCCCTCGCCCCCTCTGATTCTGGAGGACCCACCCCAGCCAGCGGGAAGGGCCGGGGCAAAAAGAAGGGAAAGAGCCCCGCTAAAAAGACTAGGGCCTCCATGGCAGGGGCTGCCCCCACTGCCACAGCCCCACCACCGGCCGCAGCGTCCCTCCCCGCTGTTCCCTCCACCAGCGCCGCGAGCGCCCCCCCTCCAGCCCCCAGAGCGTACACCCAGCTGGCGGCGGCCTCCCCCGCCAACTACTACGCCATCTCTCCCAGCCACCACCGCTGTTACCATCCCTAGCGGCCGGGGCCCCTTCCCCACCTTGACCAGGAAGCACGGCGTCTGTTGCCTCCTGGTGCCCGCCTCGCCCCACGTGGAGACCTACGTGAGGGCATTGGCGAGGGTGGTGGGGCCCACGGCCATCGTGGCGGCCTCCAAAATGTATGGCAAGATCATCTTCTTCCTTGCCTCGGAGGCTGCCGCCCAGGAGGCGGTGGAGAAGGGCCTGGCAGTGGGGGGCGTGTTCGTCCCCCTGGAGCCGCTGGAGGACCTTGGTGCCCGTGTAGTTCTGACCTCCGTTCCTCCTTTCCTCCCTAATGCTGTCCTGCTGCCTGCCCTCTCTACCCTGAGGAAACCAATCTCCATTATCAGCTCTCTCCCGCTGGGCTGCAAAGACCCCCCCCCCGTCACATCCTCTCGTTCCGCCGGCAGGAGCAGCTTCAACTGCCGCCGGCGGCGCGGGACGGAGAGGCGCTCGAGGGGTCCTTCCTGGTCCCCTACCAGGGGGCCCATTACCGAGTGCATTATTCCACGGGGGAGGCCCGGTGCTACCTCTGCCGAGTGATGGGGCATGTCCGGAGGGACTGCCCCTTGGCCCGGCACGGAGGAGCGCCCGGGACCCCCGAGCCTCAGCAGGGCGCCGGCCCCGTCATCAATGGCACCCCTGGCTGCCCGGCACCCACAGCCATCCCTCCTCCTTCTCAGCCCACCACTGCTCCCACTCGGGCCTGAGGGGTACTCCCCCCAGTGTGCCCAGACGAGCGGGAGAGCCCTGCCCCCACTGCCCGCACTCTGGCGGGGCCCATAGAGGCGGGTGCAGTGGGAGTATCTCCGGGCGCGGGAGAGGGCCCGCCCCAGGGGGAATCTGCCCCCCCTCGTGCTGCCCCACCGTTGCCTTCCCGAGTCATATTCCCTGCCCCCAGACCCACTCCGTGGTACTCAGCCCGCAGACAATGCCATGGAGGGCTGGACCCTAGTACAGGGAAAGCGGGGCAAGCGGAAGGCTCGAGCTCTGCTCCTGCCATCCGATGCGGAGGGCCCCCTGAAAACCAGAAAGGGGGGGCACCGATGCCGAGCCTTCCACCCTGCCCACGGCCACGTTCCATCCACCGGTGCCGGCTGGGAAGACGTGGCAGCACTGGAGCGGAACACCGCCCCTCCGTCGGGGTCCCTCCCCACGGAGGCCTCCGATAGAGCCCCTTCCGCCCCCTTAACATCCGAAGCCCCTGCAAGCCCCAAAGCGAGCGTCGCCCCGGGCGCTGGCGGGGAGGGCCCCGGCGTGGTGGGAGGCGATCTCCCCTCCATCTATGAGGAGATTGAGGCCCTGGGTCTGACCCCGGTCACCCAGGGGAAGGACGACCCTCTGCCAGCGGGCCTCCACCTGAGTGACCTCACCCTGGCCCCCCCCTTCCCCATGCCCCCTCCCCATAATCACTGCTTCTGCTCCCGCCTCCAAGGGTCCCCTGGACTCTTCGATCTGCCCGGTCACAGGTGGTGCGCCCGAGCCTGTTGAGGGGATGGCCAGTGCCTCGTGGCTGGGACCCAAGTCACCAGGGGTATTCCCCATTGGTGTGGGGCAACTAACTTCCTTCCCTGGTGGGGGCCCCACTGAAACTTGCCCACCTCCTGAAGCCATGGCTGTCACACCTGCCGTTGAGCCTGAGCCCGGCATCACTGGGGACCCTCTCCCCGTCCCTCAGATCCCTGAGCCGGACGGAGGGGAATCTCCTCCCGGCAGCCTGGTTACTGGGGCCCAGGATCCTGCAGCTGTCCCTGAGGCCGTCTCCTTCCCTTTCCCGGAGGGTGACCCCAGGGAGCAGCCTTTGTGTTTTCCCCGTCCCGACCCACTAGGGGCTGCCATCTTCCCTCCGCCGCCCCCCATTGAGCCAGGGTCTGAGGCGGGCCACGTGGTGCCAGCCTATCAGGTGCCACGTTGAGGGTCTGCCCCTTGCCTGCCCATCTCGGTGGGCCACGGGGCTGTGCCACGGGCCCCACCGGAGGATGAACAGGGGCCAGTGACCCCGCCCCCCCATCGGCTGCGAGAGGAGCTGTGGGAGTTTCTAGAAGACGTCCGTAGCTCCCGCAATAACGTGCAGCTCGCTCTCCAGCGATGGGGGGATTTTCATCAAGCCCTCCAGGCCGTGAGAGCCCTCATGGGGGAGGGTAAGAGGACCTGGAAGCAGGGTGCGGCAGCTCACCATCGGGCCCGCAGCTTCTGTGACTCCTTGCTCACCTTTGGGGTAGGTCTCGGTTTGCTGCACAGCCCACTGGGGGCCGTGAGTGTCCCTGCTGGCGAGGATCCCCCCCAGCCCTCCTCATGGCACCTATCACCTTTGCAACACTGAACACCCGGGGATGTAGGATGGGTCTCCGCAGGTGCTCTCCTTCCTTCAGGAGCAGGGTTACTCTGTGGTTTTTCTGGAGGAGACCCATATGGATCTGGCCGCCGAAGACAGCTGGCGGCTGGAGTGGGGAGACAGGGTCTACTTTAGCCATCTCACAGTTCGTACGGCTGGAGTGGCGACCCTGTTCTCTCCTGACCTATGGCCCGAGGTGCTGGGGGTTGCCAAGGCTGTGCCGGGCTGCCTGCTGCACCTCCGGGTCCGCATGGAGGGGCTCGTGGTCAACCTCATTAACGTCTATGCCCCGACATCAGGCCCAGAGCGGCTGCTTTTTTATCAGCAGGCATCCGCCTTCCTCGGCACCTTGGATCCTCATGAGTGCCTGGTCCTGGGCGGGGACTTTAACGCCACCCTCGAGGAGCGGGATCGCTCAGGGACCGAGCAGTGCCTGTCCGCAGCGGACGTCCTCTGGGAGATAGTCGAACACCACTCCCTGGTGGACGTCTGGCGCGACCACCACCTGGATGACATTTCCACGTTCACCTTTGTCCGGGTGGAAGCCCATTGGTTGTGCCACTCCCAGTTGGACCGCATCTATTTGTCACGTTTCCATCTTTCACGGGCCCACTCCTCCACCATGTGGCCGACCCCTTTTTCGGATCACTGTCTGGCCACTGTGATGGCCTCTCTCCATGCACAGAGGCCAGTGCTGGCCTATTGGCATTTTAACAACAGCTTGCTGGAGGATGTGGTCTTTGTGGCATTCTTCCGGGAGTTCTGGCTGGCCTGGCGAGGGCAGCGGTGTGTCTTTCCCTCGGCGCAGCGGTGGTGGGATCTGGGGAAGGTGCGCGCCCGGCTCTTCTGCTGTGACTGCACTCAGGGCGCCAGCCAATGGAGGGATGCGGCGATAGAGCAGTTGGAATGGGAGGTCTTAGAGCTAGAGAGGCGTCTGGCCGCCAGCCCTTTGTGGAGCGTGCCGGGAGAAGCGGGAGGAGCTCCGGGCCCTCAACAACCATCGGACCCTGGGTGCTTTTGTTCGATCCCGCATCCGCCTCCTTCAGGAGACGGATCGCGGCTCCCGCTTCTTCTACGCCCTGGAGAAAAAGAGGGGGGCCAAGAAGCACGTCACCTGCCTTCTGGGAGAAGACGGCATCCCCCAGGAGAAGGGCCAGGACCTTCTACGCACACTTTTTCTACCTGGATCCGACCGATGCTACCACTTGCAGAGTGCTCTGGGACAGACTCCCGATGGTCAGTGTGGGCGACCAAGGCAGGCTGGAGCTGCCTCTCTCTCTGGCCGAGTTCTTGGAAGCCCTCCACCACATGCCCACCAACAAATCTCCAGGCATGGATGGGCTGACCGTGGAGTTCTACCGCTTGTTCTGGGATGTCATAGAATATCAGGGTTGGAAGGGACCTCAGGAGGTCATCTAGTCCAACCCCCTGCTCAAAGCAGGACCAACACCAACTAAATCATCCCAGCCAGGGCTTTCTCAAGCCTGACCTTAAAAATATATAATGAAGGAGATTCCACCACCACCCTAGGTAACGCATTCCAGTGCTTCACCACCCTCCTAGTGAAAAAGATTTTCCTAATATCCAACCTAAACCTCCCCCACTGCAACTTGAGACCATTACTCCTTGTTCTGTCATCTGCTACCACTGAGAATAGTCTAGATCCATCCTCTTTGGAACCCCCTTTCAGGTAGTTGAAAGCAGCTATCAAATCCCCCCTCATTCTTCTCTTCTGCAGACTAAACCATCCCAGTTCCCTCAGCCTCTCCTCATAAGTCATGTGTTCCAGTCCCCTAATCATTTTTGTTGCCCTCCGCTGGACTCTCTCCAATTTTTCCACATCCTTCTTGTAGTGTGGGGCCCAAAACTGGACACAGTACTCCAGATGAGGCCTCACCCGTGTCGAATAGAGGGGAACAATCACGTCCCTCGATCTGCTGGCAATGCCCCTACATATACATCCCAAAATGCCATTGGCCTTCTTGGCAACAAGGGCACACTGTTGACTCCTATCCAGCTTCTGGTCCACTGTAACCCCTAGGTCCTTTTCTGCCGAACTGCTGCCGAGCCATTCGGTCCCTAGTCTGTAGCGGTGCATGGGATTCTTCCGTCCTAAGTGCAGGACTCTGCATTTGTCCTTGTTGAACCTGGTCACCGTCTGGGCCAAGTCATTACAAAGCGGGGTCCTCCCTCTCTTGTGCAGGCGAGCCATATTCACTTTATTGCCGAAGAAGGTGGACCTCTGCGACTTACGGAATTGGCGTCCCATCTCGTTCCTCAGCACGGACTACAAAATCGTAGCGAAGGCCATCTTGTTGCGGCTGGGGTCCATGCTGGAGGATATGATCCACCCAGACCAGACCTACACCTTCCCGGGCTGTACCATCTTTGATAACCTGTATCTGGTCCGGGATCTCTTGGAGCTTGGGTGTAGGGATGGTCTGTTGTTCACTCTCCTGTCCTTGGATCAGGAGAAGGCATTTGACAGGGTGGACCACGGGTATCTCCTGGGCACTCTGCGAGCGTTAGGTTTCGGATCCCAGTTTGTGGGTTTTCTCCAGGTGCTGTATGCTTCCGCAGAGTGTCTTGTCAGGCTCAACTGGACCCTGACCCAGCCCCTCAGATTCGGGCCGGGAGTACGGCAGGGGTGCCCCCTCTCAGAACAGCTGTATGCTCTGGTGATCGAGCCCTTCCTCTGTCTCCTCTGCAGGAGGTTGATGGGGTTGGTGCTTCGAGAGCTGGAGCTGCGGCTGGTCTTGTTTGCGTACGCCGATGACGTGCTCCTCCTGGTCCAGGGCCCGGGTGACTTGGCGCGGGTGGAAGCTTGCCAGACCGTGTACTCGGCGGCCTCCTCTGCACGGATCAACTGGGTCAAGAGCACTGGCTTGGTGGTCGGGGACGGGTGGCAGGCGAGCTCCCTCCCACCCGCGCTTCAGGCCATCCGGTGGAGTGCGGGTCCGCTGCTCTATCTCAGCGTTTACCTTCCTGCCACGCATCCATTTCCACCAGAGAACTGGCACGGTTCAGAGGGCAGGGTGGTAGAGCGGCTCCGGAGGTGGACAGGACTACTCCGGTGTCTCTCCCTTCGAGGGAGGGCACTGGTGCTTAATCAACTAGTCCTGTCCATGCTCTGGTACCGGCTCAACACCCTGGTCCTGGCCCCAGGTTTTCTGGCCAACCTCCAGACATTGATTCTGGAGTTCTTTTGGTCAGGACTGCACTGGGCCCCTGCAGGGGTTCTCCATCTACCCCTGGAGTAGGGAGGGCAGGGCCTGAAGTGTCTGCACACTCAGGTCCATGTCTTCCACCTCCAGGCCCTGCTGAGGCTCCTTTATGGTGCAGGTAGTCCGGCATGGAGCGTACTGGCGCACGCCTTCCTGCGCCGCTTCCGGGGGCTCCGATATGACCGACAGCTCCTTTATCTCCATCCGAGAGGACTTCTGCGAGACCTCTCGAGGCTGCTGGTCTTCTACCAGGACCTCCTTCAGACCTGGAAACTATTCTCGGCGACCAGGTCCGTGGTGGCCACTGAGGGGGCAGATCTCCTCGCGGAGCCCCTGCTACACAACCCCCAGCTCTGTGTGCAGGTGGCGGAGTCCCCCTCGGTGCGCCAGAGGTTGGTCCTGGCAGAAGTCAGAGTCAGAGACCTCCTGGTCTACGACTGTGGAGACTGGCTGGACCCCCTGACGCTCGCTCAGTGTACGGTGCTCTCCAGGCCTTGTACTCCCCGGCTCGTACTTCAGGAGGTGTGGGCCGCTTTGCCGCCTGCTGCTCGGGTTTACACCGACTGGGTCCTGCATGAGGGCACACCCCGCCCATCCTCCACCCCAGGCTCTCTGGACCTTTTCATCGGGCCCCAGCCCCATGGACCCAACCGGTCCTCCCGCCCCTTCTCCGTGAGCTGGCTGCATGACTTGCAGCCGGTTCGTTTCCAGACCATGCCAAGGAAACACGTATACACGCTCGTGCTCCACACTCTTTACTTCCTCACCCTTGCGTCCAGCTCCGACACAAAGTGGCGGGACATCTTGCCGCCTTTAGAGGGTGAGGAGCCCTGGTGGGCCAGCCTATGCTCCACCCTGGTCCTGAGGCCCGCTGGGGATATCAGTTGGTGGATCCTTCATGGGGCCGTGAGCACGGGCGTGTATTTGGCGTGGTTTTACCCCTATCCCTGACACCTGCCCCTTCTGCGGTGTGTGGGAGACTCTGGTGCATGTTTACTTGGAGTGCGCCAGGTCGCAGTCCCTATTCCGGCTCCTCACAAATATCCTGTTACATTTCTGGCTGCACTTTTCCCCACACCACCTTCTCTATGCACTCCCTATCCATGGCCCCACAAAGTCACGGGCCTCCTGGTCAGCCTCCTCCTGGCCCTGGCTAAAACGGCCATCTATAAAACCAGAGTGAGGAGGTTGGCTGAAGGAGTCTCCTTTGACTGTGGGGCCTATTTCCGATCCTCGGTCCATTCACATATCCGGGCAGAGTTCCTCTGGGCGGCGTCCATTGGCTCTCTTGACGCCTTGAGGAGCAGTGGGTGCTGTCCAGGGTTCTCTGCTCGGTGTCCCCGTCAGGCTCCCTTCTTTTGACCCTTTGAATGTACTCCCGTCCCTGTTATTTCATTACTTGTCCCTCTGAATTCACTTTGTTTCCAGGTCCTGTGGATCCTCCCCTTAGGCGGGGTGGGGTGGGGGGGGGGTTGGTCCTTAAGCACTTCCCCTAACCCAGTAGGTGCAGGAGGGAGAGGTCAGTCTGCCCGGGCTGCCCTGCTGGCTGGAGCTCTCTCCCTTCCTGGGCTGCTGCTTCTGCTGGCTGGAGTCTCCCTCCCTGGACTGCTGTTGCTGAGTGGGGGGCCTTGCCGGCCTGCCCCCCCCCTCGAGGGAGAAGCGTGGGCCCACCGCCATCTAGGGGTCTCTTCTACTTGGCCAGCTGACTGCTCTTTGCTGCTGCACCGGAGACACTGCTGTCGTCGAGGGGGAGGACACCTTCCGAGGGACATCGTGGAGGGCGTTTGTTCACGGACTGAGTGACTTTAACGTCTCTGCTCCTGGGGAGGTGTCAACTCCTGTTGTTGTGGGGAGCACGGAGGAGAGGCGCGGAACCCTCCCCCTCGCCCATCTGCTCCCCCCCATTGCCACCCCCCACCATTGCTGTTGCCCCCTCCACCACCCTGCTTACTACCTTCTCCACTCGACGTGGCTGTTTATTCTCCCTCTTTCACCACCTGGGACTGAGAGCGGCAGAGCCTGAGTTACACAGGCACATGTGCTCCCCCCCTTGGACTTACCTCACCCACCCAGCTGCGTTTGGCAGGTGGGGCCCTTCCCTGCAGTCCTCCCCATTCTCCCTGTGTTAGTTTGTCCCCCCCATCCTGCAGCCTGCCCTGCCTCCACTTGTTTTGACCCCCTGGGAGTTTTTCCCCTCTGTTAGTTTGCCTTCCACGTCCTGGCCCTGTAGTGTTTGTTACCTGACCCACCCCAAATTTTGGGTTTTAGTTTAGTTGCCTGCCCCGCCTTTCCTCTTGTAGCTCCCATTTGTGATTTGCCTGGCCTTCCCTTTCTCCCCCGCCCTCCCTCTGGTTCAGTCCCTCCTCCCTGTGCGCCCATGCCCCCTCCTTTAAGCACTTGTGCCCCTTTCAGTTGCCCCTGTACTCACCATTCACAGCCTTCCTAATGCAACTGTAGTTCCTCCCCTTCCCAGTGCAGCTGGAGGAGCCGGTATCCCTGTCCCATAACTGCACCCCCCCCCTTTTTTGCCCCTGCTGGCGCCCTCCTCCCCTGCCTGCAGCCTAGCGGGAAGGAGTGGTTGCTTCTTCCCTTTCCCCTGCCCTCTGAACTTGGGACGCCCTCCTCTCCTGCCTACAGCTCAGCAGGGAGGAGTAGTGGTCCCTCCCCTCCCACTGTACCCTCCTCCCCTACTTGCAGCCTAGTGGGGAAGTGTGGTCCCTTGTTCCCTTTTCCCCATTACCTTCCCTGCGGGGTCTGTGCTGGTGGATGTGGTCCATCCCAACCAGACCTACACCATCCTGGGCCGGACCATATTTCACAACTTGTATTTGGTCCGGGACCTCTTGGAGCTGGGGCGTAGGGATGGTCTGTTGTTTGCCCTCCGGTCCCTGGACCAGGAGAAGGCGTTCGTCAGGATGGACCACGGGTATCTCCTGGGCACCTTGTGGGCGTTCGGCTTCGGGCCCCAGTTTGTGGGCTTTCTCCAGGTGCTGTACGCCTACGCGGAGTGTCTGGTCAGGCTCAAGTGGACCCTGACCGAGCCGGTCAGCTTCAGGCAGGGAGTACGGCAGGGGTGTCCCCTCTCGGGCCAGCTGTATGCTCTGGCGATCGAGCCCTTCCTCTGTCTCCTCTGCTGGAGGTTGATGAGGTTGATGTTTCGGGAGCTGGAGCTGCGGCTGGTCCTGTCGGCGTACGCCGAGGACGTGCTCCTCGTGGTTCAGGACCCAGACGACCTGGTGCGGGTGGAGGCCTGCCAGGCCGTTTATTCAGCGGCCTCCTCCGCCCGGGTCAACTGGGTCAAGAGCTCTGGCCTGGTGGTCGGGGACGGGTGGGAGACAAGCTCCCTCCCACCCGTGCTTCAAACCATCCGGTGGAGCGCGGGTCCGCTGCTCTATCTTGGTGTTTATCTATCCGCCACGCATCCTTCTCCACCGGACAACCGGCAGGATCTGGAGGCCAGGGTGGGTGAGCAGCTGCGGAGGGGGATAGGACTGTTCCGGTGTCTCTCCCTGCGAGGGAGGGCACTGGTGCTGAACCAACTGGTCCTGTCCATGCTCTGGCACCGACTCAACACCCTGAGCCCAGCCCCGAGGATCCTGGCCAGGCTCCAGAGGATGGCTCTGGAGTTTTTCTGGCTGGGGCTGTACTGGGTCTCTGCAGGGGCTCTGAGTCTTCCCCTGGAGGAGGGAGGACAGGGCCTGGTTTGCTTGCGCAGTCTGGGCCGTGTCTTCCGCCTCCAGGCCCTGCAGAGGCTCTTTTATGGTGCAGGTAGTCCGGCATGGAGCACGTTGGCGCACGCCTTCCTCCGCCGCCTCCGATATGACCGGCAGCTCTTTTTTCTCCATCTGAGAGGTCTTCCACGAGACCTCTCCTAGCTGCCAGTCTTCTACCAGGACCTCCTCCAGACCTGGAAGCTTTTTTCGGCAACCAGGTTCTTTGTGGCCACCGAGGGGGCAGATCTCCTCTCAGAGCCCCTGCTACACAACCTCGATCTCCGTGTGCAGGTGGCGGAGTCTCCCTCAGTGTGTCGGAGGTTGGTCCTGGCAGAAACCACCAGAGTCGGAGACCTCCTGGACTACGACAGGGGGGATTGGGTGGAGCCCCGTGCGCTCGAATGACACATGGGGCTTTCCACCCTTCTGACCCCTAGGCGCGTACTCCAGGAGGTGAAGGCCGCCTTGTCACCCGATTCTCTCGCTTTCCTGCGGCAAGCCCTGAGAGAGGGCATTCCTCGCTCACCCCTGGCCCTCCGGACATTTTTCTTGGGCCCCTGTTCTGTGAGCCCCCCTGGCCTCCCCGCTCCCACACTCCGAGCCGGCTGCATACCCTGCAACTGATCCGGTTTCGAACTGCACCCAGAAACCATCTGTACACGCTCGTGCTCATACATTGCATTTTCTCACCCTTGTGTCCCGCCCCGACACCAAATGGCGGGACTATCTTCCACCTAAAGAGCGTGAGGAGCCCTGGTGGGCCAGCCTTTATTCCACCTTGGTCCCACGGCCCGCCGGGGACATTAGTTGGCGGCTCCTTCATGGAGCCGTGAGCACGGGCGTGCACCTGGCGCGGTTCACCCCTACACCTGAGGCCTGCCCCTTTTGCGAGGTGAGGGAGAACCTGGCGCACACCTATCTCGAATGCACCAGATTGCAGCCCCTATTCTGGCTTCTCCAGAACCTCTTGTTGAGGTTCTGACTGCACTTTTCCCACACTTGTTCCTCTTTGCACACCCTATCCATGGCCCCACGAAGTTGCGAGACCTCCTCGTCAACCTGCTCCTGGCCGTGGTCAAAGTTTCCATCTATAACACCAGGAGGAGGATGCTGGATGAGGGGGTGCTCTGCAACTATGGGGCCTATTTCCGTTCCTCCCTTGTCTCACGCATCTGGGCAGAGTTCCACTGGGCAGCGTCCGCTGGCTCCCTTGACAGCTTTGAGGAGCAGTGGGTGCTGTCCGGGGCTCTCTGCTCGGTATCCTCATCTGGTATCCTTGTTTTGAATCTCTGACCTTCACTCCGATCCCTGTTTTTCATTAGTTGCCCCCTGCATTTATTTGGTCCCTGGGTCCAGTGGTCCCTCCCGCTAGGTTGGGGGAGGGGCCTTTAGAAGTGGGTGGGCTTGCGCCCATCCGCCTCCTGGGTTTCCAATAAGACCCCGCTACACTGGAGGTTTAGGAAACGGAGTTAATAAGATACATGCACCTCTAATTTTACTAATGAAGAACTAAAAACATGAAGAACTAAACAGTACTTTTTACATTTCAAGGACTACAGTGACTTAGAATACAGGGACATTTCTACCCGGCTGATTCTGGGAAACCTTCCCGGGAGGGCATCAGCCACTTTATTAGAGGCTCCTGAAATGTGTTGTATTTCAAAACCAAAGTCTTGAACAGCTAAACTCCACAAAGAAGTTTTTTGTTAATCTCTGACTGTGTGAAGCCACTTCAGTGCAGCATGGTCAGTCTGCGGGTGGAAACTCCGTCCCCAAATGGATGGACGTAGCTTCTTCAGAGCATACGCAATGACGTAACAGTCTTTTTCTGAGACTGACCAGTGGCTTTCTGCTGAGTTTTTTGCTGAGAAACACGACAGGATGGAATTGTTGATGTGGTCCTTCCTGCATTAAAATTGCTTCTACACCACGCTTGGATGCATCTGTGATTACGTCTGTTATACAGACAAAACTGCACAGGATCGTTTCAAGGGACAAGACAAGATGGCACGTTTATTATAACACAATTTGATTTATGACCAATAACTAATAGTCCAGGAAAGCCGGGCACAAGGAAGAGCTGGGTCCCTGTTGGGCATGCACCAATGCCCTTCCATGTTGGCAGCAGAATGTTACCCTCCAAAGTCTTCCATCTCATCCATCCTTTTTGTAGGCTTTAGTTTGAATCCAGAGTCTATAGGTCTTGCTGTGTCACGCTGCCTCTGGGTTCGGTGTGATTGATCACCCGTCAATTGCAGACCTGACTTTCAGCCTGGGACCTGGCTTTGATGTTTCTTCAATTGTACGTTTGTTCTTTTCTTTTTAGAGTGGACTCTTCTTGCTTTGTCAGGGCTGTTGTCTGCATCTTCAGCCACTGGTGTTTACACTTTATTTCATTAGGACAGTCTGGGGCTGGAGGTTGATACCATCATCCATACATATCTCATTCACACATCTAAACTAATAAGATTACAGCAGGGTTTTGCAAAAATGAAGTGAGCATTTTAAAATGGAGTTTGGGACAAGTTAAAGTGGAGTTTGGATTACACCATGGACAAGTGTAAGGAACAGCAAACAGTGAACAGACGTTACAATGTTGAAGCCGTGCAAGTTTCAGTGATTTAAGCAGCAATTGGATTGAAAGTGAAACTCAATTAGCCAGTTATTGGGGTACCTGGTTTTATGAATGAATGTTGTTTCATTCATAAAACTTTGCTTATGTAGTTATATTAATAAAGTGAACAATTAAAAACAATTTCATTGATCAGTTCTACACGACGAACGGTTGGTTGAAGTCCAGGGCCCTCAGTACAGGGTCAAACGTAAGGGCCGCCTTAAGCTGGTTAAAGGCTTTCTGACACTGGTTGTTTTTTCCTGGTCAGGTCTGTCAGTGGGGTGGCAATTTGACGGTAGTTTGCTACAAATTGTCGGTAATACCTGGCCAAGCCCAAGAAGGATTGGACCTGCCTCTTTGACTGAGGGACAGGTCAATTTTGGATAGCATTTAACTTAGCCTGTAGGGGGTTGATAATACCTTGACCCACCTGGTGTCCAAGGTACATTACCCTTTTTAGGCCTATTTGACACTTCTGGGCCTTAACGGTTAATCTTGCCTCCCTTATGCTCTGGAAGACAGCTTGGAGGTGTTCCAGGTGTTCTGCCCATGAATCTGAGAATCTGCCACATCGTCAAGATAGGCTACTGCAAATTCCCCAAATCCAGCCAGAAGGTTATCTACCAGCCTCTGGAAGGTGGCGGGTGCATTTTGCAGTCCAAAAGGGAGCACATTAAATTCATACGACCCTACGTGGGTGATGAAGGCTGACCTTTCCTTGGCTGGGTCATCTAGCGGCACTTGCCAGTACCCCTTGGTTAAGTCTAAGGTGGACATGAATTGGGCAAGTCTCAGTTTCTCCAGTAGCTCATCTGTGCGTGGCATTGGATAGTTCTCTGGGCGACTTACAACATTTAGCTTACGGTACTCCACACAAAAGCGGATTACCCCATCTGGTTTGGGAACCAGAACCACTGGAGAGGCCCATGCACACCCACCTGTAACATGTCCTTGATCTCCCTTTCTATTGCGGTTTTGGCTTGAGGAGCCATCCGGTAGGGTTGGGCTCTAATTGGGCGAGCATCACCTGTGTCAAGGGAGTGGTATGCCCGTTCTGTCCATCCTGGGGTGGCTGAAAACATTGGTCCGAAGCTGGTGCACAGCTTCTGGATTTGCTGTCACTGCTTACGCCCAAGGGTCATGGAAAGGCTCACCTCTTCTATGCCACCGTTGCTTTTTCCTTCATAGTAGACTCCTTCAGGCGACTCAGCGTCGTCTCTCTCCTGGGCTGTAAACTGGAGAACCTTGATTTCTTGGGAATAAAAGGGCTTTAGAGAAGTTACGTGGTATACTTTAGGTTTTAGGGTAGGGTCTGGGAATGCTATGAGATATTTAACAGCTCCCAGGTGCTCTCGGACCATAAATGGCCCCTCCCATGACGCTTCCATCTTATTGGCCTGGAGCGCTTTCAGGACTATGACTTGGTCACCTACTTTGAAGGAACACTCTCTGGCATGTTTATCATACCAGGCATTTTGCTCTTGCTCAAGAAAACCTACAGAATGCTCAGCAAGGGCTAGAGAGTCTTTGAGGGTGTTTTGCTGGTTGGCTACAAAGTCCGAAATGTTAGTTCCTGGAGCAGATGTAACCCCCCTCCCATTGTTTTACCAACTGTAATGGCCCCTTAACTTCCTGGCCATAAATGTATTCAAAAGGGCCTGCCAGAGACTATTCGCTCTCCACTAAATGAAGAATCAGGAATTATTAGTCTTTTGTGTGTGTCCAGTGACAATCTGGCTCATTCCTGAGCTCCCTCACCCTGCTGGATAAGCTGGGGCTGGAGTTTAGTGCTGGGGCATATAGCACGCGGACCTCCGCAGCTGGCAGCTGAGTTCCCCAGTCAGAATTGGGCCTGAACTAAAAACCTGCATCCAAAGACCCCCAAACTCTGAGGTCAGAGTCAGCTCAAGTCTTTGCAGACCTCTCTGTATGACCTGCTAAGATCTGGGCCTCTGAGCATGGCATGGTTGGCCTCCCTGCAGCCTCTTATGCCACTTGTAAAATGCCCAGGTTTTCTGGAGCACTTTCCCCCCAAAGAGCTCAGTGTTTTACAAAGGCAGCTCACTGTCAATACCCTTGGCTGACACCTGGGGCAATGGGCACAGGGAGGGAAGGGACTTACCCCAGCTCACCCAGCAGAACTAGGAATAGAGCCCAGGGCTTTGGTCAAAGCTCCATGCACTGGGCCACAGCAGCACAGCCCAGGTTCGTACGACCCTGCCCAGTCTTGCCCTTGGGGCAGGAATGCATTTTTTATTTCATGTGCTTTTTTTTTTTTTGGTCCTGTATCTGAACCCAAACTTTTCATTTTCCAGGGTGACTGCAAAGCCCAGCAGAGCAGTGTGGCCGCAGGTAAGAGTCCCGTCTCCTGAAGGAGAGACCAGGGAGATGTGAGGAGGTCCCGCGGCCCAGGGAATGAGAACCCAGGAGAGCTAACTGTTTTGGGGATGGGACTGAGTGTGGGACTGAGTTTTGCCTCTTTCCATGCCAGCAAGTTTTCTCATGGGCCACTGATGAGGAGCCCATTCCCACTGCGTGGAGAGGCTGTGTGGCCTCCAGCTGGGAGCGGTCCCTCGGGCTCCCTTTTTCAGAGGGCTGCTAACCTTGCTCATGGGAATGACAGTGAGGTGAACGATGCTCTGTCCCTGCAATCCCCCAGCCAGAGATGAAACTAAGACGGTACAGGCCAGTACGGTGTTCCGGTGAGAAAGCAGCCGCTGGCATGGGCTGGTACACCGCTGACAATAAAGTGCTGCCGTGACAGTGCTTTAAGCACCGTACTGGCAGAGCTGCTGACGGGGTGGAGGGCGGGGGGGAAAGGGGCAGCTTCCCTGGGGCCCTTTAAATTGCCACCGGAGCCCCAGGCAGTGTGGGCCAGGCAGCACTGAAAGGTTGGCTGGGAGAGTCTGGCCCCAGCCCCACCCCTTCCACCCGAGCCCCCCCTTCCAGGACCCCAGAGTGCCCCCCCGCCCCGCCCCAACCTTGCTCAGGAGCCCGGCCACCCTGCGTACCTTTAAGTTACTTTCACCCCTGCCCCCAGCCTTATCGTCTGCTCTGGACCAAGACTGTAGAACATGACTAGTGGTTTGGGGCCCCCCCCCGAGACATTCTACAGAGGCCTGACTGTCAGAGGGTGGGCGTTCAATGACTCAAGGTAGGCACCCCAAAAATGGAGGCATCACAACGCACTCTGAGAAATCTTGGTCCTGGTTTCTCCATTTTGGCCAGATGTGGGAGAATAAAGAGACCATTTAAGGACACATTTTCCAATATATATATCTGCACATCGGTCATAGGTACAGTCCCACGTATCCGGTGAATAACAAACACTACATAGCCTTGTTAGCCAAGCCTCCGTTATCTGAAACACCCAGAGATCACAGATAGTTATGAGCTGTTTATTCAAAACAAGTGCTACGGGTGACAGTGGGAATTACAGACCAGTTAATGTTTAGTTCAAGTGTCCTGTACATGTTCAAAATAGAACGTTAAAACACCTAGCTGGTCACGACACAATAGGAACAAACCAACCAGCTTCTACAAAGGAAAGTCCTGCTTTGCTACCCCACTAAAATACCGTGTGTCAACAAAATAGGAGATAAAGGACAGCCAGGTGACGCAATTTATTTGAACTTTCAAAAAGTGTTCGACAAAACCCCTCACAAGAACTGTGAACTAAGTGTGTGTGTGTGTGTAAGAAACTTCTGTCATGGATCAGAAACTAGTGATGGCAGTGTACACACAACAGCCTTGCTCCTGCTGTTGTAAGTTCTGTACTGCACCGACATAATAACTCCACGAGAGCCGTAGGGCTTATGTCGGTGTCATTAGAGTGACACCCTGTGTGTGAGGATCCTGCTGGTTACTTACATCAGCTGTTGGCTCACTCTTGTCAATTTCACGTCTCCCTGCTGGAGCTGTGAAATTGACAAGAAAGCCTGGCTCACAGCTCCAGCTGTCACCCCTGGGCAGGTGGGGGGCTCCAGCTAGAGCCTGGCTGCCCCTGAGCTCCCTGCTCCCAGCCCAGCTGCTGCCCGGAGGCTCCCCACTCGCCCCAAGGAGCTGAGAGCCTGGGGGTGGGGCTGTGTACAGAGCTGAGAGCCCAGGCTCTCAGCCCCCGACACTGTTGGTAGAAGCGCTTCTGGTGAGCACGCGCACCACCGACACGGGGAGGGTAGTGTGGACATCAGCCACCGCAGTAATCACTATGGTGGTTGTAAGTTGACCTAACGTAAGTTGACTTAAGTTTCTAGTGTAGACATGCCCTGAGAGGGGGATTCAAGGAAGCCAGAGTGCTGAGCAGAGAGCTGCCTGAGCCAGCCAGGGTGAGAGGCAGAGGACAGGGTGTGTGGCCTAAGCCCTGCCCCTCAAAGGGACTTCAGGCTGGAGGGAGGCACTTTGCTCACTCGGAAGTCACAGCCATGAACCCTTGCCTGGCACCTAAACCAGGTCAGCAAAAAATCTCAGTGCAGACATGGTCTCCGTATACCCCAGGCTCAGAGCACTATACAGGCTGTGGGAGACCCAGGTTTGAATCCCCACACTGCCTGATTCAGAGTAGGGCCTCACATCCTCATCTTCTACCTCCTGGTTGAGCACCCTAATAACAGGCTATTGGCTATTTTAGTGGGGGGGGAGGCTATTTCATTAATTTAGATGGAATCAAAGAGTCAAAGGTGTTAACATGTTGCACAGTGACAGGGCTGGTAAGCAAGGTTTGGGGTTTAGTATACAGAGACCTCAGCCTGCTCAGCACCTGGGGCATTCAACCATTAAACATCTTTTAACTCTTTATTAAAGATACACCTCCCTCATTGCCTTTGCCTTTAGCTGGAGAGTATTTAGATGGAAGCCCCCCTTTGACAATTTTAGATGGTATCAGAGTTGGTATGAACTGTCCTTGGGGCAAAAAGCAGAAGTTAGCCAGGCTGGGCTGGAGCTGTCCTTGCTGTGGTTGTTAGTCTGATCCTGGTTCCTAGCAGACAAACCCAGCCAAACACACACCTGCAAGAGGGGAGAACAGAACAGCCAGGAGAGGAAACACAGCTTCTGTCTCTGGGGTTGACTCTCAACTGCTACGACAGTGCTGGAAAACCCAGGCCCAGCTCACGGTCTGATCAGTCACTCTGGCTACATCTACACAAACACTGCAATTCACACTTGCGGCTGGCCTGTGCCAGCTGACTTGGGCTCATGGGGCTCGGGTTAAGGGGCTGTTTAATTGTGGCATAGACATTCAGGCTTAGGCTGCAGACTGAGCTCTGGAACCCTCCTACCTCTCAGGGTCCTAGAGCCTGGGTTTCAGCCTGAGCCCGAAAATCTATACCACAATTAAACAGCCCTCAACCTGGGCCCAACTCATCTGGCACAGGCCAGCCACTGGTGTCTAATTGCAGTGTAGACATACCCACTGAGACCTGGCAACTCGTGCCAGAATCGGGCCGTTGAGGGCATTGCCTCTTTCTGCTCACAGCAGTGTTGTAAAATATGGTCTCAGCCAGTTGAGCCAGACTCTTATTATAGCAAGGTAAAAGGAGAGAGAGAGGAAAGAATCATAGGACTGGAAGTGACCTTGAGAGGTCTCCTAATCCAGTCCCCTGCACTCATGGCAGGACTAAGTATTATCTAGACCATCCCTGACAGGGGCTTGTCCAATCTGCTCTTAAAAATCCCCAATGATGGAGATTCCACAACTTCCCTAGGCAACTTATTTCAATGCTTAACCACCCTGACAAGAAATTTTTCTTAATGTCCAACCTAAACCTCCCTTGCTGCAAATTAATTAATTTAATTTAATTTAAGCAATTGCTTCTTGTCCTATCCTCAGAATCATAGACTATCAGGGTTGGAAGGGACCTCAGGAGGTCATCTAGTCCAACCCCCTGCTCAAAGCAGGACCAATCCCCAACTAAATCATCCCAGCCAGGGCTTTGTCAAGCCTGACCTTAAAAACCTCTAAGGAGGGAGATTCCACCACCTCCCTAGGTAACCCATTCGAGTGCTTCACCACCTTCCTAGTGAAAAAGTTTTTCCTAATATCCAACCTAAACCTCCCCCACTGCAACTTGAGACCATTGCTCCTTGTTCTGTCATCAGCTACCACTGAGAACAGTCTAGAGCCATCCTCTTTGGACCCCCCTTTCAGGTAGTTGAAAGCAGCTATCAAATCCTCCCTCATTCTTCTTTTCCGCAGACTAAACAATCCCAGTTCCCTCAGCCTCTCCTCATAAATTATGTGCTCCAGCCCCCAATCATTTTTGTTGCCCTCTGCTGGATGCTTTCTAGTTTTTCCACATCCTTCTTGTAGTGTGGGGCCCAAAACTGGACACAGTATTCCAGATGAGGCCTCACCAATGCTGAATAGAGGGGAACGATCACGTCCCTCGATCTGCTGGCAACAATTATTCTCCCTCCTCCTTGTAACAACCTTTTATGTACTTGCCCTGTTCTCATGTCCCCTCTCAGTCTTCTCTTTTCCAGACTAAACAAACCCAGTTTTTTCATTCATCCCTCATAGGTCATGTTTTCTAGACCTTTCATCATTTTTGTTGCTCTTCTCTGGACTTTATTGAATTTGTCCATGTAGCGGGCCGGTCACCCTGCTCTGGCCCTGAAGGGGTTAAAACAGCCCTGGGAAAGGGCTGCCCCTGGGAATCAATAGGCTAGCCTGATGGGGGAAGCAGCCGCTGCTGGGGCCACATCCCAATTGAGCCACAGCTGGCCCTATAAAAGGGCTGTGAGCCAGAAGCTACGGACACTCTCACTCACTCTCTCTCATTGTAGAGAGAAGGACCTGGCTGCCTGGGAGCTGAGCAGGGTACCTAGAGTGAAGCAGGGCTGAGGGAAGGCCAGAGGAGCTGGGGAGCTCCAGCCTGGAAAAGCCCCAGGCTGCAGGCTACAGAAGGGGAACCTGGGAATAGGCAGAGGTAGCTGGTCCAACCCCCCTTGCTGATGAGTGGTTTAGAGACTGCAGTCTGCCCCAGGGAGCAAGGGCTAGATGATGACTGGCAGTAGCCAATGAGGCAAGGTGGGGATAGAGGGTTGGGGGTTCCCCTGGGGGGACCCAGATTGTGGGTTACTGCTGGGGGCAGAATCCTGAAGTAAAGGGGCACCGGGGTCTGGGAGGGACACGGGGGCCAGAGGCAGGCGAGACACTGGCCTGCAGAGGGTGCTCTGAAGCTAGAGAGCTAATTCCCGAGACAACCAGCAGGAGGTGCCGCACCGGTGAGTCATTGCCTCACTACAGTGGAAGAATTGCTTCTCGTGTCTAGTTTACAACACTCCTGCTAATACATCCCAGAATGATATTTGCTTGTTTTGCAACAGTGTTACTCATATTTAGCTTATGGTCCACTATGACTGTGGAAAAGGACCTAGGGGTGACAGTGGACGAGAAGCTGGATATGAGTCAGCAGTGTGCCCTTGTTGCCAAGAAGGCCAATGGCATTTTGGGATGTATAAGTAGGGGCATAGCGAGCAGATCGAGGGACGTGATCGTCCCCTTCTATTCGACACTGGTGAGGCCTCATCTGGAGTACTGTGTCCAGTTTTGGGCCCCACACTACAAGAAGGATGTGGATAAATTGGAAAGAGTCCAGCGAAGGGCAACAAAAATGATTAGGGGTCTGGAACACATGACTTATGAGGAGAGGCTGAGGGAACTGGGATTGTTTAGTCTGCAGAAGAGAAGAATGAGGGGGGATTTGATAGCTGCTTTCAACTATCTGAGAGGTGGTTCCAGAGAGGATGGTTCTAGACTATTCTCAGTGGTAGAAGAGGACAGGACAAGGAGTAATGGTCTCAAGTTGCAGTGGAGGAGGTTTAGGTTGGATATTAGGAAAAACTTTTTCACTAGGAGGGTAGTGAAACACTGGAATGTGTTACCTAGGGAGGTGGTAGAATCTCCTTCCTTAGAAGTTTTTAAGGTGAGGCTTGACAAAGCCCTGGCTGGGATGATTTAATTGGGGATTGGTCCTGCTTTGAGCAGGGGGTTGGACTAGATGACCTCCTGAGGTCCCTTCCAACCCTGATATTCTATGATTCTATGACCCCCCAGATCCCTTTCTGCAGTACTCATTCCTTGGCAGTCATTTCCCATTTTGTATGTTGCAACTGATTGTTCCTTCCTAAGTGGAGTACTTTGCATTTGTCCTTCTTGAATTTCATCCTATTTACTTCAGACCATTTCTCCTGTTTGTCCAGATCATTTTGAATTTTCATCCTATCCTCCAAAGCACTTGCAAGCCCTCCCAGTTTGGAATCGTCCGCAAACTTTATAATTGTACTCTCTATGACATTATCTAAATCAATGATGAAGATATTGAACAGAACCAGACCCAGAACTGATCCCTCTGGGACCCACTCAATATGCTCTTCCAGCATGACTGTGAACCACTGATAACTATTCTCTGGGAATGGTTTTCCAACCAGTTTTGCAGCCACCTTATAGTAGCTCCATCTAGATTGCATTTCCCTAGTTTGTTTATGAGAAGGTCATGTGAGATAGTATCAAAAGCTTTACTAGCGTCAAGATATACCATGTCTACTGCTTCCCCCCTATCCACAAGGCTTGTTACCCTGTCAAAGAAAGCTACCAGGTTGGTTTGACATGATTTGTTCTTGACAAATCCATGCTGACTGTTACTTATCACCTCATCTCTTCTAGATGTTTGCAAATTGATTGCTTAATTATTGCTCCATTATCTTTCTGGGTACAGAAGTTAAGCTGACTGGTCTGTAATTTCCTGGGTTGTCCTTTTTATAGTTGGCACTATATTTACCCTTCTCCAGTCCTCTAGAATCTCTCCCGTCTTTCATGACCTCTCAAAGATAATCGCTAATGGCTCAGATATCTCCTCAGTCAGCTCCTTGAGTATTCTAGGATGTATTTCATCAGGCCCTGGTGACTTGAAGACCTCGAACTTGTCTAAGTAATTTTTAACGTGTTCTTTCTCTGTTTCAGCCTCTGATCCTACCTTACTTTCACTGGTATTTACTATGTTAAATGTCCAATCATCATTAAGCTTCTCGGTGAAAACCGAAACAAAAAAGTCATTAAGCACCTCTGCCATTTCCACATTTTCTGTTATTATCCCTCCCTCCAAGCATTGAATAATGGGCCTACCCTGTCCTTGGTCTTCCTTTTGCTTCTAATGTATTTGTAGAATGTTTTCTTGTTACCCTTTATGTCTCTAGCTAGGGGAAAGAGAAGAAATAAGGTGGGGAAGGCAAAGATCACACATGGGCTGGGGGGAGGCAATGGCAGACTCACATCCTAGATGGTATTTGGGATTATGCAGAGCCAATAGAGGTGCTGGTGTCATTTGGGTCCCTGTCTCTGGCCCAGTCTGGTCAGAAGGCAGCATGCTGAATGGGGAGCCCCCGAACCAGCCAATGGGAGATGCCAACGTCAGGAGTGTTCCAAGTCTCCCCCGCCCCCCCCAAGACAGGCACCCGAGTTGGGGTTGCAGGGAGGTGCCTCGCTCTCCTAGTGATCTGCGAATGGGAAGCTGCTACCGGAGTCAGGACATGTCCTTGGCGGTACTGAGTTAGAGGCCTTCTTGCGCCATACTGAATGGCCGGTGTAGGAGAGGTTGTGCAGCCCAGGAGATAGAACACTGCCTGGGGATGGGGGTGGCCCAGGGTCAACCCCCAGCTCTGCCTGAGGGGAGAGAGGCTTTGAACAGGGGTCTCCCCCTGCCAGGAGCATGCTCTAACCACTGGGTGAGGGGACAGTCAGATGCGGGGCTCCTGCAGACTCTCCTGTGGAAGCTGTTCCACAGTGGGTAGATAAGGAAAGGGTGACTGCAGCAGGGGGCTGGACCATGGGGCTCCCTCCTGGTGGTGCCCAAGCACTGGGCTACAGAATCATTCTCTCTCTCTCTTGGCCCACTGACTGCTGAGATATTTTTCTGCAGTGGAACAGTCATGGGGCCCAAGAGAGAAGCCCACCATGGAGGGGGCGCTGTGCTCAGCCGGGAGCTGCTTGGATTCCACTGGGATCCTGGAGGAAATCCCCCTCCATCTGGGCATGTAAGCCATCTGAGAGTAATGGGGGGGGCGTGGTGGTACTTCCCTCCGAGGGAAGGGGGAGGGGCCTGGCACTTTGCAGTGCCCACGTGGAGGTGGACCACGGTGAGGAATGGTGGGACCTGCCCTGGGCAGCGAGGCCCCGGTCCCTGCCCTCTACGGCTGGCCTCACTCACCCCATCTTCGCGTTGCAGAGGCAGGTAGCAGGGGCTGTGACCGTGGCACTTACCTGGCAGCAGACAGCAACAGTGGCCTCACTGAGCCGAAGAAGCTGCCGAACCCGGTCCGAGAGTCCAAGACCCACCAGGAGCTCCATCGGGAGCTGCTGTTCAGCCACAGCAGGTGAGTGATGCTGCTGGGTGCCAGGAGGGAATGGGGCCCAGGGAAGCATTACTCCACCTGGCACAATGAGGAAGCGCCAGGTCCTTGGCCTTTCCTACTTCATGTGGGAGCTCCTTGGCACGTCTGATCCTCAGGCACCTCCCGCAGCCTAGCTGAATTTGCCAAACAGTGCTGGTGCCCCCAGTTATTGGCTGCAGTACCCTCGGCAGGCCTGGGTCAGTGGGCTGGGAGCGGGAGTCCCTGAGAATGCTCCTGAGGTCACAGTCTCTCCCATGACAGCATGGATGCCTCACAGACCTGGGCAGCTTCCCAGAGCCCCCTGGAAGGGGACACTGAGAGGGACATGTGTCCTGTACTGATCGCTCCAGGGGGCAGGGACGTGAGCAGACTGGTGCCAGGCTTGGGGGCAGGGAGCTTGGGGAATGAATAGATTATCCCCAGGAGAGCGAATGCAAGGACCTGAATACAACCAGGCCAGCTCTGCTGCCGGGGGGAATGTCAGGGCATCCCGCAGGCTCTGACTGGACTAGGGAGCAGAGGAAACAGGGTGGGCAATTGAAAGAGAGAGGAAAAAGGGAGGCAGTGAGAGAAGGCAGGTGCAGAAGAAACAAGGAAGCACCCCACTTCATTAAAGTCCCTTTCATCCCCTCTCCGCAGGGGGCTGTTGCCAGAACACAAACCAGAGCTCCAGAAGGTTCTGGAGAACAGGAGATTCAAGCAGCTGAAGCAGCAGCAGGAGTCACAGAGGCCCCGAACGGATCTGGAAGAGGAGCTGAGGAAACGACACCGGATGCTGGAGCAGGTCTGTGCCAGCCAGTCATTCACTAATCCAGCACCTGCCACAGGATCGGAGCCCTTCCCTCACAGCCAGCAAGAAACAGCAACCATCTTCCTCTTTCTCGCCTCCCTGACTGTAGCCTCATTAGTTTATAGGGTCATCCTCTGTTCTGTGGTGCGTGAGTGGGCACTGAAGGGCAAGTGAGTGGAAGAATACAACTCACGAAGGGGGAAAGCTAAGTCAAAATGAGAGTCCGCTGTGAAGCTCGTGAGCACGGTGATGGGAGGGATAGCTCAGTGGTTTGAGCATTGGCCTGCTAAACCCAGGGTTGTGAGTTCAATCCTTGAGGGGGCCATTTAGGGATCTGGGGCAAAAATTGGGGATTGGTCCTGCTTTGAGCAGGGGGTTGGACTAGATGACCTCCTGAGGTCCCTTCCAACCCTGATATTCTATGTTATACAGTATTTCTATGATATCTTATCTCTAGGGGCAGTGAGTTCTCCAAGTCCAGCCCCTGTGAAAGTTCTGTCTCACGCTCTCCTTGGTCTCCCAGGAACAGTCGACAGTCTTGTTGTTCCAATGGAGCATAGCCATGGGGGTTGGTCATGGTCTTGGAGGGAGAGGAGCCAGAACCAACCCTGTCGAGAGGTTTGAATATCAGGACAGAGATTTTTAAACTGGCCTCTGATTCTGTGGGGAACTGGTGCAGTGAGCAGGGCACCAGGGCAGTAGTTGCCAGCAGCCTGCGTCGCTCAGGAGATGGGCTGGGGTGTTTTGCATCATTTAGAGCATTTCCAGGGCACACAACTTCATTCCTAGGCCTGGTCTAAACTTACAATGCAGGTCGGCCTAGCTACATCACTCAGGGCTGTGACAAATTCTGGGCCCTGGGTAAAGTAGTTCGGTCACCCTGCCCCCCCGCCCCACTGATGCAGCTAGGTCAACAGAAGATTTCTCCGAGGCAATGGATCTGCTACAGCAGTTACAGAACGCTTTCCACCACCATAGTGTCTATGCTACAGCGGCGTAGCTGGATAAACCTGCCCCTAGAGACAAGTTGTACCGACCAAACCCGGAGGTCACTAAGGCCTGGCTTATTGTGGCAAGGCCAGCACCCCAGCATATTCTCTGCTGTCCAAGTCCACAGACTGGGTGAGCGCTTCCCGCAGACTAGGCTTTCCAGTGCTCTCTGAGGGAGGCTGGGCAGGGGAGACTGTCAGGTGGCCCTGGAGCCACTGTGCGCAGACAAGACTGTAGAAGGCAGCACAAGGAAGAATGGCGAGAGAACGCGTCGGAATCTTTCCTCGTGCGGCTTGAGCTGTTTCTTGGGCAGGTACAGTGTGTGGTGTGGAGACACCTGCACTGGCTCCATACCTGGAGACTCATGTCCGTGGCACATGCAGTCTGACTGGGGCACAAAGATTTACGCGCGGAAGCCTTGGAGACCAGCTGCCATTTGCTCAGTGGCTGGCCTCGGGATGGGCGTATTGAGGGGAGCCAGCCCAATGGGCTTGGAAGGCTATGCTCAGAGCCTGGTGAATAGGGCTCTCTGCAAACTACTGTAGACTCTAATAAAATCTAAAGAAGAATCAAGTCTTTCCCATAGAACTTTTAAACCACCCTGTGCCATTTTAATAGAGAACTATAGCCCTGGTGTAGGAATCCTCAGGAGGGTTTAAAAATTCAACAGAAAGGATTTCACTCTTTATGAAAATCAGCAGGACTCCTCCATAAGGGAGGCTCTGGTGTCTTCCCCGGCTTACTTACCTTATTTCACAACTACTATCACCACTTTTACACAAACATTGATATCCGTGGCAAGCTGCTGATTTACACCCGCTGAGAATCTGACCGAGAGAGCTTAACTATTCACTGGATCTTAAAATAACATGAAATCAGACGTGGGGGATGTGTTTAAGAAGAAAAATAGAGAGTTCATGAAAAACATGGAGGGTCATAGTCTCTCCTCACACCAGTGCCTCTCCATTGGAATCAATAAGGCTGCACTGTTGTAACTGAGGAGGGGAGAAATTTGGGTTTGGTTTGGTATTCAGTTAGAGATTTGGCAGAAGGTTCGGGTGTGAAGTAGGGTTGGGTTGGGCTGTGCTATGATATATGGCGGAAGGTTCGGGTGTGGCATAGCGTTGGGTTGGGCTCTGGTATGATATATGGCAGATGGTGCAGGTGTGAAATAGGGTTGGGCTGTGCTACGATATATGGCGGAAGTTTCGGGTGTGGAGTATGGTTGGGTTGGGCTGGGCTGTGGCGTGAGTAATGGTCTCAAGTTGCAGTGGGGGAGGTTTAGGTTGGATATTAGGAAAAACGTTTTCACTAGGAGGGTGGTGAAACACTGGAATGGGTTACCTAGGGAGGTGGTGGAATCTCCATCCTTTGAGGTTTTTAAGGTGAGGCTTGACAAAGCCCTGGCTGGGATGACTTAGTTGAGGTTGGTCCTGCTTTGCGCAGGGGTTGGACTAGATGACCTCCTGAGGTCCCTTCCAACCCTGATGTTCTATGATTCTATGATATGGCAGAAGGTTCGGATATGAAGTAGGATTGGGTTGGGCTCTGGTATGATGTATGGTAGCAGGTTCAAGTATGAAGTAGGAGTAGATGAGCTGTGGTATAATACATGCTAGAAGGCTCGGGTGTGGAGCAGGGTTGGGTTGGGCTGCGGTATGATATATGGCAGAAGGGTCGGGTATGGCGTAGGATTGGTCTATGCTATGATATATGGCAGAAGGTTCAGGAGTGAAGTAAGGTTGGATTGGGCTATAGTATGACACAGGGCAGAAGTTTCAGTTGTGCAGTAGGATTGTGTTGGGCTGTGGTATGATATTTTGCACAGTCAAGGCATTAGGATATGATTGGAATAACAGAGACTTGGTGGGATAACTCACATGACTGGAGTACAGTCATGGATGGATATAAACTGTTCAGGAAGGACAGGCAGGGCAGAAAGGTTGAGGGAGTTGCACTGTATGTAAGAGAGCAGTATGACTGCTCAGAGCTCTGGTATGAAACTGCAGAAAAACCTGAGAGTCTCTGGATTAAGAAGTGTGAGCAGCAAGGGTGATGTTATGGTGGGAGTCTGCTGTAGACCAACAGATCAGGGGGATGAGGTGGACGAGGCTTTCATCCAGCAACTAACCGAAGTTAATAGATCACAGGCCCTGGTTCTCATAGGAGACTTTAATCACCCTGATATCTCCTGGGAGAGCAATACAGCGGTGCACAGACAATCCAGGAAGTTTTTGGAAAGTGTAGGGGACAATTTCATGGTGCAAGTGCTGGAGGAACCAACTAGGGGCAGAGCTCTTCTTGACCTGCTGCTCACAAACCGGGAAGAATTAGTAGGGGAAGCTAAAGTGGATGGGAACCTGGGAGGCAGTGACCATGAGATGGTCGAGTTCAGGATCCTGACACAAGGAGGAAAGGAAAACAGCAGAATACGGACCCTGGACTTCAGAAAAGCAGACTTTGACTCCCTCAGGGAACTGATGGGCGGGATCCCCTGGGAGACTAACATGATGGGGAAAGGAGTCCAAGAGAGCTGGCTGTATTTTGAAGAATCCTTATTGAGGTTGCAGGAACAAACCATCCCGATGTGTAGAAAGAATAGTAAATATGGCAGGCAACCAGCTTGGCTTAACAGTGAAATCCTTGCTGATCTTAAACACAAAAAAGAAGCTTACAAGAAGTGGAAGATTGGACAAATGACCAGGGAGGAGTATAAAAAATATTGCTCAGGCATGCAGGAGTGAAATCAGGAAGGCCAGATCACACCTGGAGTTGCACCTAGCAAGAGAAGTTAAGAGTAACGAGAAGGGTTTATTCAGGTATGTTAGCAACAAGAAGAAGGTCAGGGAAAGTGTGGGCCCCTTACTGAATGGGGGAGGCAACCTAGTGACAGATTATGCGAAAAAAGCTAATGTACTCAATGCTTTTTTTGCCTCTGTCTTCACGAACAAGGTCAGCTCCCAGACTACTGCACTGGGCAGCACAGCATGGGGAGGAGGTGACCAGCCCTCTGTGGAGAAAGAAGTGGTTTGGGACTATTTAGAAAAGCTGGACGAGCACAAGTCCATGGGTCGGATGTGCTGCATCCGAGAGTGCTAGAGGAGTTGGCGGATGAGAATCAATTCTGAAGCACTTAGTGGAGAGGAAAGTGATCAGGAACAGTCAGCATGGATTCACCAAGGGCAAGTCATGTCTGACTAATCTAAATGCCTTCTATGACGAGATAACTGGCTCTGTGGATGAGGGGAAAAGCAGTGGATGTGTTGTTCCTTGACTTTAGCAAAGCTTTTTATATGGTCTCCCACAGTATTTTTGCCAGCAAGTTAAAGAAGTATGCGCTGGATGAATGGATTATATGGTGGATAGAAAGCAGCTAGATCGTCGGGCTTAACGGGTAGCGATCAATGGCTCGATGTCTAGTTGGCAGCCAGTATCAAGCAGAGTGCCCCAAGGGTCGGTTCTGGGGCCGGTTTTGTTCAATATCTTCATTAATGATCTGGAGGATGCCGTGGACTGCACCCTCAGCAAGTTTGCAGATGACACTAAACTGGGAGGAGAGGTAGATACGCTGGAGGGTCGGGACAGGATACAGAGGGACCTAGATAATTTAGAGGATTGGGCCAAAAGAAATCTGATGAGGTTCAACAAGGACAAGTGCAGAGTCCTGCACTTAGGACAGAAGAATCCCATGCACCGCTACAGACTAGGGACCCAGTGGCTAGGCAGCAGTTCTGCAGAAAAGGACCTAGGGGTTACAGTGGACGAGAAGCTGGATAGGAGTCAACAGTGTGCCCTTGTTGCCAAGAAGGCTAATGGTATTTTGGGCTGTATAAGTAGGAGCATTGCCAGCAGATCGAGGGATGTGATCGTTCCCCTCTATTCGACACGGGTGAGGCCTCATCTGTAGTACTGTGTCCAGTTTTGGGCCCCACACTACAAGAAGGATGTGGAAAAATTGGAAAAAGCCCAGTGGAGGGTAACAAAAATGATTAGGGGACTGGAGC